GAGGCGTCTGTGCCTGCGCCTCCCGAGTTGCACCCTGCTGGCGAAGGTGCTGAGGCGGGGCCTTGGGCGGCGGCGGCGGTGGCCCGCGCGGCGTCGCCCCCGTCGATGACTGCCCCTGGCCTTCTGCTCTCGCGCGACCCCAGCGATTCGGGGCACTCCTTCCCCGGGCGGCACATGGCACGCTGCCGCGGGGGCTGCCTTTTGACTTATCCCTGAATGCGCACGAGCCGCTAGGGCGCCCTGCCTCACCTGCCCTCGGAGGTTGAAGTTCGACATCGGCACCTTGTAGAGCGGAGTAGGGTCGAAGTCGAACTCAGGCAACCCCTGCAGGGCTCGCTGTTCCCGATCTGGGGACACGTAGTCTGAACGCTTCTGCCATTCGCAATGTACGAGGCTGTCAGCAAATTCAGCTTCATAATCCATCCTGCGCAACGCCCTGCGGCTCTGAATGGTAACGTAGGGCCAAGGGTCACCATCCCATGCAGGGCGGTGCGTAGGGTGCCGACCATGCTCGTAACTCGGGTTGTCGTTCATATGCTTCTCCAGGTCGTTATAGCTGACCCCCGCGTGAGTCACCATGCGGTCGACACCTTTCAGGAGCATTCTTTTCTCAAGAACGTCCTCTCCGAGGCCTTGATTCTCCTTCGCGGGGTACCAGACCCGCGCGGCGGGTCCCAACGGAGCCCGGGCAGGGTCCGCCGTCACGCGAGTCCACTCGACATGGTCGGGAAACGTGGCACGAAGAGAACAGCACCTGTCCGCGACGTGCCTGCGTGGCCCCCCAGGCCGGCACTGGTCAACACGGTCCCAGACCAGATCCGTGAACCACTCGAAGAGCTGCCGAGGGGCATTGCTTCCCAGCGCGTCGCACAGCCGATCAGTGGGATCTTGGAACCACGCACAAAGCAGAGCTTCTTTTTGCTGCTGGGTGAGGAACGGCCGAGGCATGCGATACTCCATGGGAGCTTACGCGCCAAGCCAAGGTGCAGTGACGACTGCCTTCAAGTTGTTGATCTTCCGTGGCCCGCCCAGGCCCTCGGGGGCCTGCCAGATAGAAACTGCTTCCCGGATGACTGGAAGATGCACGCCCTGGACATAGGGCTCCAGGCCCCCAACCCAGGGCACGTTCCCCGAGCTGGCGGAGTTCCAGATGGCGTTGTACATGTCTGGCGGGTTTTGGACCATGGGTCGATATGTCGGTTTCTTGAATATCCTGGCGAGCAACCCGACCTGATCAAGCCCCCCCCCCGGCATCTGTCTCAACCTCTCCGCGTGGCAAGCAACGTATACTTCGCGGAGTCCCTTTGTCGGATCGACTCGCCCCACTGGATCGACCCCGAGAACATGGTACAAGTTCGGGGTCTTGCTCCATGGGTACATGTTGGAGGTGAATATACCTTCGCCCAAGTGCGGCGCAGGTGTCATTGCGCCCCCGTGTTCGTTGCTTTCGTGAGCCAGCCCCGTCTTCGTGAAAATGTGCACTTCAGCGCTGTGCCATTCGCCATGTGGCATGGTAAAATGGTCCGGGCGGTGCGCGTTGACCGACGTCGAACACCCCGAGCGATAGCGACGCTCAATTGGCTCATCGAGACACCCTTGGCGAGCTGCACGAGGGCCGTTGCGTCCTTCACAAGGTTCAGGAGCTTGTCCTCATCAGACATGTCTCGCGAGCGCAATATTTTCTGAACTGGCTCATATCCAAACGCGCCAGGGCAATCTTGCCCATTCTGGAACATCTTGCCCCAGAAACCGCGCAGACCACCATGGGCGGGGGCGTCCGATGCCCCTCCTCCTGTGACTTGCGGACCTGGGGGGCCGCCGCCCATGGATGTTGGCGCTGCTCAGGCGCCAGCGCGGAAGCTGCGAGGCGCCGGAGAGCTGCGGCGGCGCGTGCAAGGCGGCATGGCTGCCAATCCAGCCGCGTGGGTTTGCTGCGCGGGGGCACCGGTTTGAGCCGAAAGGCGGCAGTGCACACATGCGCATCCACTACAGCAGGGGCAGCGTTGGAAGAAGCACTGAACACAGTATGCTCGGATACCCTGTCTAAAAGTGCCTTCACGGTGAAGAGGTGGATTCTTCTCGCAAACTCATCCGTAGTCTTCAGCCTGCTTGCAATCCTTCCCCCTCGTCCCAATATTCTTATGACTACAGTCATCTGCGAGAAAGTTCCTCGGCAATATCACTTGATGGCGAGGCAATACCCAATGGATTCTTGATATATGGCCCCTTTCTGATCTTTCAACCACGCGCGCAGCCACGGAGCTGGATCTTCGTCATATCTTATTTGTTCAAAAACTCTTCAACCTGTGGATCATGCAGCATCAGCACGGGGTCGGCCACTCGAAGCACATTTGGCCGTTTCTCATATTTACCTACTGAGCGAAAGCACGAGCTGCTCAAAACAACTTCCGAAAAAGTGCAATGTTACCCCTTAATTTCTTCAAGCCTTTCTTATTGCCGGAGCGGTAATACATGGCCTTGTTTACGCATTGTCATAGGGGTCCGCCGTACATGGCATTGAGATCAACAGTGTTATACGTCTGTCCGTGGCAGCACCTTGCTACTGCACTTCTTGTTCAAATTATCCAATTTGGGTCACGGCAAAAACGTTTTGCCTCCTTTGGTGGTGATTTCTGTTTCTGTTAATCCTATCACCTTGCAATACTGGGAGCTGGCGGTAAACCGTCAACCTCGGTTTTTTTTTGCGTTTGCGTAGCGCTCACTGTGCGAATGTCTCACCCGCAGCGCAGCGTCTCGCGCCTCCAAACGAGGCCCGCCCCGAGACACAGGCTCGAGCCTCCAAACGAGGCGTTGCACCGAAGCCTCCAAACGAGACCCCGACCACTACACAGCCAAGACTACCACCAACATGCTTCCAGGATGGAGAGTGCAAGCGAAGCTAAAATTGAAAATCTCACACGCACACAAGCTGAGTGAAGTAACAACTCCTATCAATGAAATGTGCACTTGTGCACAGATAGCGATGAAATAACTCAGCGTTGCTGTGAATATATATATATATATATATATATGTCATAGCAGATGGCGCACCTCCACAAGAGCTGTGAACCTCAATAGTCATGAACTCGAAGTTAAAATCCCGTCTCCTGCCTTGCACATTGTTGTAGTGAACTCTCGGGCGGTCTGGAACAACCGCAATGCCGCTATAAATTCGGACTCCATTGCTGTCGCATATTGCTCCAGAAGCAGGCCCGTCTCTTGCAGGGTCCGCCATTCTGAGGCCTGTGTGGTACGATCAACAATTAAGCCTTGCAGCCAGTAGCCCACGGCACTTCCTGAGACGCTCCTCCCACCGTCAAAGTGACCCCTGAGAGCAGCTAAAGTTTCTCCATTCTTAAGATCTGTGGTATTTTTGTACATATAGGATTGATTGGGCTCTCGCGAGCCCTCCACGTAAGTTCATCCGCCTCCTCATTTCCTTCGCGGTAGATATGACGCCAGAGGTCATCTCCCCAACCTGGTGGTCTTATGGGATATTGACTACACCATGTCTCTATGATATGTGTCGGTTCCAGCTCGGCTTCGGCCCCCCGCGACTTACATATTTTATCCAGAAAGCCTCGCTCTCACCTCCTCCCTCTTCCTCCTCCCCCTTCCTCCTTCACTTTCCGTCTCTTCCCCCCCTCCTTCCGCGTCCCTCTTCATCCTCCTCCCCCCCTTCCTTTGTTCCCTCGGCTTCCCCAGAAAGCAACATACCAGTGGGACAACCAAAAAGAGCAGAAGAAGGGGAAGAGGAAGAAAAAGAAAAAAAATGTGTTGGGAGAATACAGACTGCAAGGCGAATCCGCCCGAAACGTTTCTCTTATTGCTTTGGTTTGCTTTTTCGCTTTTTTGCTGCTTTTCCAAGGCTCTGATCCAAAAGGGGAATTCTGATCAGCAGGAGGGGGAAGGGGAGGAGGAGGAGGAGGAAGACGGCGGCGGCGACGATGGCGACGACGACGACGGCGGCGGCGACGATGACACAGCGCGCTCGAGCAGGCACGGTGCACTTCGACCATGATCCTTGCTTGCCTCTGCAGAACCTCTGGCTCGCTTCTCTTTCCATCGTGCCTTGATGCGGCAGAAGGGGGCATCCATAAATGGATGCCCCTTCGACGATGCGCCCCTTCGACGATGTGGCCGACGCGGGAAGGCTCCCAGGCCAGTAGCGCCGATCGGATAGCGAAACACAACGGGGAACTCAAATAATGGGTTCCCACCTCCGCGCCCGAAGCCACTGCCGTTCGTTTGCGCGTGATTTACTGCCCGAGCCAGAGCCTGAACCAGAGCCAGAACCAAACCCAGAACCAGAAACTGAACCAGAGACAAGCCAAGAACCAGCGCCAGAGCCAACATCAGAGCCATAACCGGAACCAGAGACAGAGCCAGAACCAGAACCAGAACCAGAGCCAGAACCAGAACCAGATCCAGAGCCAGAGCCAGAGCCAGAACCAGAACCATAATCAGAACCAGAACCAGAACCAGAACCAGAACCATAACCATAACCAGAACCAGAACCAGAGCCAGAACCAGAACCAGAACCAGAACCAGAACCAGAACCATAACCAGAACCAGAGCCAGAACCATAACCAGAACAAGAACAAGAACCAGAACCATAACCAGAGCCAGAGCCAGAACCAGAACCAGAACCAGAGCCAGAGCCAGAGCCGGAACCAGAACCAGAGCCAGAACCAGAGTCAAAACCATAACCAGAACCATAACCAGAACCAGTACCAGAGCCAGAACCAGAACCAGAACCAGAACCAGAGCCAGAACCATAACCAGAACCAGAGCTAGAACCAGAGCCAGAACCAAAACCATAACCAGAACCCGAGCCAGAACCAGAGCCAGAACCATAAACAGAACCAAAGCCACATGTGGAGCAGCCCAGCCCAGTTCCAAACAGACATAAGATAGTCGATCCTATCATATACAGGGGCATCCTTGAAAGGGGATGCCCCTGCCATCCCACAGGAAACCAACGCCGACATGTTGCTTTTATGGGGCAGCATATTATGAAGTCTCTGGCCGCCCTCCCTCCGAGAAGTTCCGTAGTGCCCGATCGGCTCAAGCTGTTTGATTGCACGCGCCTTTCGTGCCGACCCCTCTCTTTTGCGGCTGCCATGGCGAGGGAGAACGCGATCCTCCCCAAGACCCTCCGCGAGACTCTCGGGGACGCCGTTGGGGACGAGAGCATCAATTTCGGCGAGGCCCTCGCGCGCGCCGACGGCATGAAACCCCACTTCCACGCTGGCCTCCCACACGGCCACGTAGGGCAAGAGGGGCTGTCGCAGATCGCGGATCTTCCTGCTGCGCCCATGAACGTCCACGCAGGCACGAAGATCTCTTACTTCGGGGATCTGCCGATGAACCAGGCTTACGAGGAGATCACGGACAGTGACGGGAAAAAGGTCGGTGTCCTCACTGACTGGAAGGACGCTCATGGGCAACCGTGCCGTTTGGACGTGGTCAAGGACCTTGCCACGAAGTCCTATTTCAGTGGCCTCCCTCCACCGTTCAACCTCAAGAGCCAGCCTGGTGGGCCGTACGTCGTGCAGATTTTCGTCTTGGGCGCTGGCGATGGCAAAGTGCACATTTTCAAGGACGTTGACCTGAAGGGCCAGTTCCTGGAGATGGCCAACTGCGAGCCCATGTGTCATGGTACGGGCGTCGTGTATCAGTATGGGAACCAATACAGAGCAGGCCGCAATGCGATCTGTTACCTCCTGGAGAAACTCGGCGGCCTACAGATTCGCTTCTCCACGCTGACCGCCGCGGCAAAGCCTGCCGAGCGCGCGACCGAGTGGGATGAGAAGCAGGAAGGGTACCGCTACATCGAGAAGAAGGGCCCGAAGAGCAACAACCGCAATCAGTTCATGGAGTTCGCGGACAAGGACAGCAGGGCCGAGGAACACGGCGCCACCTGGTTAGCCCCATTGCCCCCTCTCCCCCCGACCCCCATCTTGGGCCGCGCGGGCCCTTTGACCGCCGAGCGATTGCGGCTAGCCCAGCAGTGCCGTTGTTCCCCCGCCCCCAGGAGATCAACGACCCGCAGTCGAAAATCTACGGCTGGGGGGGGTCCCGCGTGGTCCAGGCGCTGCGGAACCACGCGAGCGGGCGCATCAACGCCAAGCGCCTCTCTGTCTGGGTGCTCACGCTGAAGGACTTCGAGCCGTGGTTCATCAACGAGGTGCTCGTGAAGATCCTGCCAACTCTCCGCCGCAACGGCGTGCTCTGGATCGGCAAGACCAGGGTGGGGAAGTCGACGGCGTCGAAGACACTTGCGTTCTTGATGTCAATGCTCGAGATCGATGCACTTGAGGGCGATGACAGGGAGGGCGCACCTGAGCCTTCAATTGTCACCGCCAAGCACTTTGATTTCTTCAAGGGCGAGCCCGTGGAGAGGGTGCTGCCCGCGGTGTTCGACGACGGGGACTTGCACAAGCAGGACGCGTCCGTGTTAAAGGCTTTCCTCAACCCGAGCGAGGAGGATTCCACGCTGTGGGCGAGGTGGGGGCCCAGCACGTTCGCCCCAGGGGCGCCCCGCCAGGCCGTGAACAACAGCTACGACAATGCTATGGAGAAGCGGATGGTGGCGGACTGGCGCCAAGGGAAATTAATGGTGATCACGATCCAGCAGCTCATGGCCCTCATCGCGCCCTCCTTGAAGCAGATCACGGAGGAAGAGGACATGAAGGCCCTGCTCGCGAGGTCCCACGTCGTCGTGACCACGGACACGCGCGTGTACTTCCGTTTGGCATCAAATGAGTTTCCAGAGGACGGCGTCGTGCCTTTCTACACATACAGCAAGAAGTCAAAGCCTGACCTCTTCAACTACTCGCCCGAGGCGCGCGCGTGCTTCGGCAGGTGCAAGGACGACCCGACCTCTCCGAACAACTACCCGTCCGACTTCAAGGAGAAGGCGGAGTGGTCCTTGAATTTTGCGAAGCGCTTGATGCGCGGCGAACAAGTGCCCACTGTGTCGACCACCCGCGGGACCTCGCTCTTCGGGGAGCCCGTGCACAGGGTTCAGCCAGAGGCCGCGCCCCCGCCAGCGGGCGCGCCCGCGGCCCCGATGGCAGCCGAAGCCGCGCCAGAGGAGGGCCCGCCAACGGCTCAGCCAGAGGCCGTGTTCACGCCAGCGGGCGCGCCCGCGGCCCCGACGGCTGCCGAAGCAGCGCCAGGAGGGCCCGCCAGCCAAGCGGGCGAAAGCCGGCGCCGAGGGGGGGCGCGCGGCGCCCCCCGATCCTTTCGCGGGCGGCTTCAGGCGCGACCGCCTCGGGGGCGACCGCGGCGACTACGAGGGCGAGGAAGAGCCGCCGCTCGGGACCCCCGCGCAGGAGATCGAGCGGCTCTGGGGGCTCCACCAGGCAGGCGCCATCACGCTCGCGGAGTTCAACGTCTTGAAGAAGAGTGCGATCAGCGAAGGGTTCAAGGCCTTGCAGAAGGTTGCGTCCGCCAAGAAGGAGGATCGCAGCGCCAAGCGGGAGCAGATGCCTCGCGCGCCAATCAAGCGGGGCCCGACCGAGGGGGCTGCCAAGCGGGAGGTGTTCGAGGCGAAGCCCGTTGACAAAGAGACGATCCAGGGGCTCTTCCCAGGCTCGGGGAGTGCAGAAGTCGGGCGGTGCTCGCGAGGCGTCATAGGAATCGCCCGTTCGTTGACCAGCGGGTGCTTGAGTTGCGCGCCGTTTGGTCGCGAGCACGGCTGCCCCTTCTGGCAACGTGTAACGGGCGATTCCTTTGCGCGCCCTCAGTCGGCCGCCTTGCTTCTGGGCCCCAAACAAGCGTCGTGGCGATCGACTCGGACGGGGACTGAGTGAGGCCGCAGCCGCGGGGGGCCAGACGTAGCGGATGAGTCTAGCTGCGGTTGGTAGCCAAATTCGTTCGGGAAGGCATGCGACTGTTGGGGCGTATCCAGATCGTTGGGGGATGTAAACAATACGTGACAGCCTTTTATAGGCAAGCTGCGCGCGGCAAGGATAGATATCGCGTGCGATGGCACCCGTGCGTCCTTGCCTCTGCGGCCCTCCTTTAGCCAGCCATAGCCCAGCAGGCTTCGCGGTAGGGGTTCAAGGGGATTGCATCGATATCCTGCGTGCTCTCTAGCATGATCTACCTTCTGCTCTGCGCGCGCACGATCTGGCCCACTCTCTACCCTTGGCCCGCGATTACCGTGGTCTCTTTTCGCCGCGCAACCACAATTCTTTCACCCGTCGCTTCGCTTGCACCGCAGCTCTTTTGGCTCGAGGGCGCATCGGCAGACCACATATCGGGGGCGCTTGCGGCGATGGCAGGCATGGCGCGCACGTGCAACAACATCAAGGGCTTCAAGAAGGCGCTCGACGCGGCGACTTTCGACACGAGGGAGGAGTTTCTCGCTGTTGTCAAGTGCGCCAACATCGAGGGCATGTCGCCGAATCCGAAGGACCCCACGACGCCGCTGATGGTCTTTGCCCAGCACTCCGGCGTGGTTCCCGATGAGTACTGCTGCCAGGTGTGCGGCTCTGAGTTCACCATGAAGGTCATGTCTGGGACGTCTGACCGCGCGGCGCGCTGGCAGTGGCGGGGCCCTCGGCACGACCGCGCCAGCAGCTGCGACGCATGCGGCGACGTTGAGATTTCAATGACGAAGGGCACCCTGTTGGCAGACGTCAAGGCGTCAAACTGGCTCCCATTCTTCGACTGCATGGTCATGTGGGCCAAGGAGTACCCGCACTTGAAGATCGTCCACGAGCTGGGCAAGCAGCACAACGTCGCGGGCCCCTGGATGGAGAAGTTCCAGGATGCCGCCGCGTCTTACATCGCCGACAAGATCCCCCCCGAAGCTGCACGAGGCCTTCAAGAAACGGGCCAAGGCCAATGGCAAGAAGGGCGCGAAAGAAAGACTATCTCCAAGAAGAAGCCAGCCAAATTCATAGTGCAGGCTGACGAGGTCTTCCTGAACAAGTCCAAGGTCAGCCGCCTCGAGCCAGGCACCCGCCCCAAGAAGGACAAAGTATGGCTGCGGGGCGCGGTCGCTCAGGGCAGCCCAGAGAACTTCGTCTTCCGAGTCTTGGGGCACCCAGAGGACGCGTTCGACGGGCGCCCCCGCGGCAAGCAGGAGATGGTGACGAATTTCGACACGCTGGGCCTCCGCAAGGGCATGATCGTCGCCACGGACGGGTGGAAGGCCACGATCGCCGCCATCAGGCGAATCAAGGACAGGGATGGATGGTCGGACAGGGACCTGAAGCACGAGATCGTCGTCCACTCCAACGGGGATGTCAAGAACCAGCGCGGCTACACGACGAACCACATCGAGAACCGTTGGACGGTCCTCAAGAGGTGGCTCAAGAAGCGCCTTGGCGGTCGCCTGCCGACTACCTCGGATCGGCGGAAGTGGGCCCGCTGGGTGACGGAGTTCCAGTACAGGAAGAACGTCACAAAGACGCACTCGGTCGATGGCGGCAACACCTACTCCCTGCCGACGAAGGCGTTCCTCTCCCACGTGGCGGAGGTCACGCTGGCTGGGGGGCTTTGACGCGGCGCCTCGGGTCCCGACGCAGCAAGTAGTCTCGAGGCTCGGCAGCGCTTGCGATGCAGGCAAAATGCTGGGCTCGCGCGTGCATGGCGTGAGAATGGGGCCACTCATGCCTGGAGTTGAACAGCGAAACCACGTCACTGCGGCAACCAACATCATCCAATCATCAGCGCCATCGCCACCATCGCACCACGCCGCATTCGCATAATTCCTTAAATCGCGGGGGTCCAAAACCGAACTGAAACCTTTTTTCATTCTGAGTGTACCATTTCCCCCTCAGCCAATTGACTACCGTGGGAGAGTCCCCCGAGAATTGACACATGATGGTACCTATCTGTCCTGGGAGCCTCTGGTTCCACGCCGTGTCCTGTTTGAAGTTATATGCGAGTATCATGGCTTTCTTCTGCCTTTCCTTCTCCTCCTCCTCCTCCTGTCTTCGTTATGTTATTCCTCCTCCTCGCTTCCTCCCCCACACCTCCTCTACCTGTTCTCTCGAAGTCACCTCATCCACCCTTAAAGTTGCATGGGTCCCACAGTGGGCCCCCATCACATTCTGCAAGCGTCTTCTGAAGGAATTCACGGAACGTTTTCTCCGAGAAGTGTCATTTCTCCCACCAGCACGGCTGTCCAGCGACCTTTCAAAGATCCCACGCCATGATCTCAAGCCTGTCCTCTCTTTTCCTCCACCCTCCAGCCTCCTCCTCATTTGCTGCCTCGCACTAGCTGGGGCCGCATTGACAAAGTCGCCCCTGTGCCGTACCCAGCCCCCCGCCCCATGCAACATATGACAACGTGCCTGTACCCATGGACTCTCGGTTGCCAGGGCCTTCTCATATACAAGACGCCTGCGCTCCCGCGCCTGGCAAAAGGATGGTTCAGGAGGGCTGTCTGCGGCGCTGGATTATAGGAGGTTCTGTCTCTGGCTCATGTCTGTGAGATCTGTCCTCCTGCGCCTGGCTGCTTGCTGCATTTGGCTCGTCATCCTCCTCCTGTTCTCTTTATGTTATTGTTGTTGATCCTCCCCCACCTCCTCCTTGCATTATTGAGTGAAGATTGAGTGTACGATGTCCTTTGCCCACTCCCATTGCTTCTGCACAAACAATTGCACCAGTCAAGGGAAACCTGCGGCATGATAATGTTTCCTCCCCTGCCTCCTCCTCCTCGTGTCGAACTCTGGCCACGAGCAGTCTTTCCTCTGGCCGATAACCACCCGTGCAAGGCAGAATCCTTCAAATGAGTGTAAAGATTGCACTGTGTCTCTATCAATGGCACTGCCTTCTGCACCATACAAGGCAACACTAATCACACGAGATCGGCATTTCAAGAACTCCCGTTTGAAAGAAATTGATCTGGATTGCTAGTACTTCGCATCACGGAAGAAAGCTGTTTGCGCCTTGTCCAACATGGCTCCCAGATCTTCATGCCGACGCACTTCCGTGTCACAGTGCACCCCTGGGATGTTCCCGATCTTTTCCTTGGCATGTTGAGTTCCGCAAGTTTGCAACTCTCTCTAGCACCATCTGCACCCAATACACTGAATCTGAAAGTGAGCTCGTCTTGTTCGTTAAAGTCACCTCCGAAATGTAAATAAGCCAGACTCTCTTGCTTCCACGTGAAGCCGTGTGCATACAATGGGCCACCCATTGCTTTCATCATCTGTGCAAGCTCCTGTTTGCTTCTCGCGTACACTAAGATGTTGCCCGCCCATACTGAGTGTGTCAACTTCCTCTCCATATTATACGTCGGTCCAAGTGCAAAGCCAAGTCGTCTTTCCTGCCAGCTCTCTACAAACTCATCCCACATTGCGACTGTCTCACAATTCCACAGGAATGGCCCTTCCGTTCCCCCGGTTCTGATCATCGTGTCCCATTTTACTTCTTCTGACTCCGTGTCCTGGAAGCTGACCTTTCCGCGGTTGACAATCCAGCATGATAAGATCGCAAACCTCAAGTGTAAAGTCATACCTGCCTGTTGCTTTGAGTTCGCAGCTCTCTGAAAAGCCATTGTCTCGAACGCGTGCTTCACATCCACCAATCCTAAATGAAGCGATTCACCTTTACCCCATTCGATACTGTGTCTCGCCACCTGTTTGAGTCCTGCCGTAATCTCATGAACCTTTCGATACTTTCGAAAACCAAGCACATTCAATGGATGCTGTGTCGACGAGAATTCTTCTTCTGCCAATATCAGCAACGTCATCATGTACCATTTCGCAAAGGTGTTGATCAAGCAAAGGGCCCGTGTCTGTGTGAGGTCTTCAATTTGAGCCGTACGCGGCATCAGCACCACTGAAATGCTTTGCCACGACAACGGCATGTTGAGTTCTCTCACATACAGGCCTCTGAAGATGTCCAGAACTCTTCTGAACGAGATCCAGGTGAGGTTTTTTACCATTCGAGGGGTAACCTGTTGGGGTCCAATAGCTTCATCTTCTTTGAGACGTGCACGTGCGTGTAGTACGTGCGCCATTGTTATGGTATCGGCCCTGGGATTTGCACTGCAACCAGTAACCTCCATTTCCATTTTTAAGTCCTACAATATTTTATGGTGTATCTGATTGATATGAGGATCCTGAAATCTGTTTTTGACATGCTCATCCAATGTTTTCATCCATTCCTCTCTGGCTTCAGTCAACACTCCGTTACAATTGATCTGATTCACCGTCTGTTTGAGAGTACGCTTTGAATATCTGTGTATGCGCCCCAACAGTTGCGCTCGAGATCGCCGATTTTCTATCCGAATCTCAGCTCTGAGTGTTTTATACTCCTTCTTTCTCCTTAAGCTTTCCTCCTCCTCCTCTTTCTCCTCCTTCTGGTCTTTCCTCAACATCTCCTTCTTTAATGAGCGAAGCCTGGCCGTCAACCCCCTGCATCTCTCGGTCTTTCTAGGTCCTGAGTCCCCAGGGCGGGCAACAGAACGAAGGGTCTCTCTACCGAGGGCCACGGCGGCGACTGCCTCCGGCAGCGCCTCTGGACACTTTACCTCGTGCAGTGTTTTGTCCTGCAACGCGCTGTATGCTTTGCTGTCCTCCTCCTCCTCCTCCTTCAACCTCCAGAAGACTGCACTCCTCCCCCCACCCCTGTTCTCCTGGCAACTCTGAGCTTCATGGTCTAGTGGGATCGCATGTCTGAGAAGCTTGTGATCGCTCAGGGCCTGTTCTCTTGTCCTCTCCAGCCCCGGGTCCGTGCACGGCTTGCTGTCTCTCGGGCAAATCCACCTTGCGTCGATTGCCAAATCGGAACTCCATTCCTGAGACACTGCGATATAGTCCAGCACTTTCTGAGCGGGCCCTGAAGCTTTTGATTGTCTCCTCCTCTTCCTTCTGCTTCCAGCCTCCTCCTCAGTCTTCTCCACCTCCTCCTGTATCCCCTCCGCCCCCCTCTCCATTCTGGTCCTGCACGTCGGATCTCATTCCGAGAAGCTGCTGGCAAAGCGGAGCTTAAAGTGTCTGGCGAACGACAGCATGGCGTCTCGCATGCGCTCCTGACCCCCCCCCCCCCTCTCCTTCTCAAAGCTTCCCGTCTCCTTCTTAGCCGCTCCTCATTTAACTCCTCCTCCTGTGATTCTCTCCACCCCTGGTCGGAGCTCAACGTTCGCATCACAAAGCAAAACAATGTGCCTGCAACAATGCGGCCTGGCTGCCTTGCACTGGTCGATCGCCGACCTGGTGTCATCCAGGATGGACTCGTACTCATCCACTGTTTTTTTGTTTTTGTAAGCTGGTAAGTAAACGGATGCAACTGTAAGACGTGACCATATCCCAACCACGAATCTATTTCCCTTGGGGCAAGACTTGAAGGGTCCAAAATGTTGGCGCGCGGCCCAGCTCTTACTGTAACAGATAGCAGCACGCCCCATCGTGCTGCGCTCCGAAACCTTATCGCTGAATAAACACACCAATCCTTTTGCGTCAAACAACCGTGTGCACACCGTTGAATCTAAATGCTGAGCCTCCTGGAGGCCCGCGATGTGAATTGAATTAGTTCTGAACGTATCCGTAAGCTCGACAAGACTAGCAATCTCCTTGCGACAGACATTCCAGCTGCCGATAAACTGGTGCTCATATTCCCCTTTCATCGCGGAGGAGTTTGAACAGATGTTGAGACGCTCTTTGAAGATCGCCGCATCCACCGTCGAGTCTGCTAGGTTCACCTGTTCCTCACCAACCTTCCATGTCTTTAACTTATCCCCGAAGGATGCGATCACAATTTTTTTAGCGCGATCCGATGGGTCCGGGCAACACCACACGAAAGTGAAAGGGGGTCCCAATTCGCACTTGATTAGGACGCTCGAGAGGTTCTGCCACACGCCGTATGCTATGCCTGCCGCCGCGTTGTGTGGCCTCTTCCACGGTGATGACTCCACGCTCGGGCGAACTTCCTTTGTCGCGATTGCTTTGAATGGGTCGGTCCGTGTCATCGCAAAGATCTCACTTCGAAAATCCCAATCTCTTCGATGGCGTCCCTGGCTTGAAATAGCTACGAATGCGTGCATAGCCAAAAGGTCTGTGCGAGTTCTCTTTCCCCGTTTCTGTATCATCAATGTACTCTTTCTCCTCACCCGCGTTGTTACTGACCTACTTCAGCACCGCTGAAGCCCCTGGCTCCTGCATCATCTCGGATCCCCTCTTCTTGATGTGGCCAGCTCCCTTACTCCATCCCGACAGCTGCACATATGTTGGGTTCCATTGATCACGGGCTGCTCTGGTGCCGCCACCGTATGCGTTCCCACTCTGATTACAAGTGACCGACTCTGCACTGCTGTTTGTCTTGGCTTGCTGTAACTCTGCTACCTGACGGGATAGTTCCGCTACAATATTGTCCATCGCATCTGGACGGGTAGAAGCTGCTTGCACATCCTGCATAACATGTTGGATCTCTCTACCCACAACTTTGAAACACTGTTCGATGTCTTGCTGAGTTTCCTTTGAGTTTCTGAAAATCTGCTCCATCGCTGTGTCTGGATTGAACTCTTCCTCATCTGAGCTAACTTCCACTTCC